GCATGCATACGGCATAAAAACAAATTAGTCTTTGCTGTGTTCAAAGCTATTAGCATGAAAAAATAGAGAAAAAGAAATTCCACTATTTTCTCCTCTTCTTTAATCTCATCTTCATTTTCTACCAACCTCAAGCATAGTCTCCCACCATGCAAGGACTCCAAGATACAAATCTTTATCTTTTCACTTCCAATCATCATCCCCAGTGCCTGAAACACTTGAAAAATGCAAATTTATAACCCTGTAATATCCTAGCCACACAGCTCCTCAATGTTAACAAACTTATTTGCATTTTTCCTTTATACATATAGATGTGGCCATATCCCACCTCTTGCATGTTTTGGATCTAATACACCTGAGATCTCAAACCCAGAAATTCTCTTTCCTAAGCAGTTGTTATCCTTTCACTCCCCCGTCCCTTTGTTTTATGACACCTACGCTAACTTGAACTATAATTACTTGTATGTATTATTTATCTTCTTTATATTGTAAATTTCTTTAGAGAGGAAAAAAAACATTTGTTTTCTATTTACCTTCCTATGCCTTATGCATAGGAAGTGACATTTTAATGTATGTAGAATAAATCACCATATTAGAGAGATTATATAAGGATATATCTTTCCATATTCTTCTAATACTATCCTGGGGCTTATTTGCATGATCTGTCCCTAACAAAACATCCTGTACCTATTTTTCATAAAATAAATCTATGCCATTTAAGCACAGACCTGCAAACTACCAGTGGTGTGTTTTGCAGGAAAAATATTAAATCTCTTAGAGCCTCGTTTCTCATTTTATAGAAAAGAGAATCCAATATTTTTGTGAAGTGATAATAATAAAAAGCACTTAGTACAGAGGTACATTATTATTCTACTTATTCCTCATTGGTATATGATGTCCCATCTCAAAAATTTGAATACATTTCGCTCTGCATAATAACCTCTAGGTCCATCCATGTCACTGCAAATGGTAGGTTTTCATTTTTTTTATGGCTGAGTAACATTCCATGGTATATATGAACCATAACTTCTTTATCCAGTCATCTGTTGATGGGCATTTAGGTTGCTTCCATATCTTGGCTATTGTGAATAGGCTACCATGAACATAAGTGTGCATAAATCTTTACAAATTATTGTTTTGGTTTTCTTTGGATACCCAGAAATGCAATTGCTGGATCAAAAGGTAGAGGGGAGGGGGTTGAGGGGCTGGGAGAAAGGGTGAAATGTTTAAAAAGTACAAATTAGTAATTGATAGATGGTCACAGGAATGGGGAGCACGGCATAGGGAATGCAGTCAGCAGTAATATAATGGCTATGTGTAGAGCCAGAGGGGTGATAGAGTAATTGAGGGGATCATTTCATAAACTACATAAAGGTCTAACCAATGTGCTGCTGACTTGAAATTAATAATAAAATGCTAAAAAAATATTGAATACATTTAATACATTTTAACACGAGATTACTTTTCTCCTCTCATATTGGGAAAGTAAACATTTTTTGATAATGCCTCGTTTTTAAGAGAATACTATAAGGAAACAGGTATATGATTATAAGTGCTGTTGTAAGTGTAAATTAGTGTAAACTTTTGGAAAGGCCATTTGGCAATAAGAGAAAGGAAGGGAAGAAAAAGGGAATTTTTTAGAGTTGGAAAAGGAAAAGGGAAATTGAAAGGAATGAAGGAAGCAAGAGAGGTAAAAAATGATTATAGAGAGAGAGAGAGAAAGGATTGGAATAAAAAGAAGAGGTGGAGCAGGTAAAGAGAGTAAAAAGAGAGAATAGCGAGAGGGGCAAATAGACCTAATGCCCTAGATAAACATGACGCTCCGGATGGAGAAATCAGCAAGGCCCGGGTGCTGTATGCTGCACCAGCCTCAACTGTTGCTTCTCCCTTCCCCAGCATCTCCTGTGCTTCTGCTCTGCTCTTTCTCTGCAGTCACCATCTGGTCCTGATCCCAAAGAGGGCAGAACATGCAGCCACTCTCTAACAAAGCCTCTGTCCTGAGCTTTGTGTTCCCTGGACACATTTAATAATATTTTTCATATTCTTTTGATGTTTATATGTGAAATGTAAGATCAATAGAAATTAGATAGCCAATATCATGAACATCAGAATATAGAACAGAAATGATGTATGCTATTTTCTCATTCATTCCACACAGCAAATGCTGTGTAAATGCTGACTGGCCCTGTTTCTTCCATTATCTGTACGTATGGCTTTGGCTCATTTTGCTTCCATAACTGTTTTCTTTCTTTCTAAAACTTAGTCAGTAGTTTTAGTTTGAAATCTGAGTTTCCCAGAACCTGGAGAGTTCTGTGGCTCTTCATTTAGAGATTGAAGTCAGAGATGAGGAAGAACCTAGTAGGCAAAACTCAACAGTGTGGCTCTGCTTTTTATATTCCACATTTTATTTCTACCAAAGAAGAGTTTGCATTCTCTAAACCCTGCTATACTGAGTGGTCATGGATGTGTCTCATTGGTACCTACAAGCTGGAAGAAGCTGGGCAAACTGGCTGGTCTCCTCTCACCAGCTAGTTTGCCCAGCTTCTTCCAGATTGTAGGTACTAATGGATTCACACAGACTAAAACTTACAGGCCTCATTGGTAGATGCACTTATCCCCATAAGAATGAACCTCCAGCCCTTACAATTACTCTTTCTCAAATTTCTCTTTGCATCCTCACTCATTATGCATTTGGGTTTTTCTACTCAGGCTGCTCTCCTCCTTATCAACTGCCTCTAAAGCCACCTCAGGTCAGCCATCAGCCCTGTCTGTGAGAATATGGGACTCTTTCAGTGCTCCAGAAGCTAACCCCTGAGGAGCCAAAGTAGCATCACGCCCCACCCCCACCCCCCCAAACTGGAGTGCTTGGAGTCACAAAATAGTTCACACAGAAAGGAAGTTACCACTTGCCTCATCTTGCAATGCATTGTTGTTTTCTATAATGAAAACTGTATTTCCTACACTTCCTAGATCTTTCCTTCTTGAGACCAGTTTCTTCTATTCCTGCCTGCATCCTTTCTCTCACAGGATTTGGGCACAAGTTGTGAGACGATGATGGCCTAGACACATGCTTTTTTTCCCACCCACCTCATCTTTCACCAGAGCAGTGCAAAACTTCACCCCTCAAGCTCTTTGTTCCCAGGGAACTCATTGCATGAAAAACAGTTGCCTTGGGCAAGCTAGTTTATCAAACTTTCTGGTATTTCCAGGCCCATGTGAATCCCAGAAATACCTTTCCCAACTGTATCCTAGGAATGGACTCACAGATTCTCATTCCTTTGAAATCCGGCTCTTTACAAGTTAATGAAGGGCAAATTTGATGATGCTTTTCTCCCATTTGAAATGGTAGAAATGTGAAGCCATTTTAAGATGAAAAGTATATTTTAGGCAATTAAATGCATATGAGAAGATGTGAGAATGAAGAAATGAAAAATGAAAACAATAAAGCACAATTCTAGAAACATTGATGCTTACCAAATTCACAAGTAAATTTATTATAATATTTTTAAATATGCAAATACAAGAACTCATAGAACTTCAACTCCAATACAAGTAATATTAGCCAAACACAATTATTATGGAGTGTTCAGAGAGAAGTCAGGTAAGCATGTCTACCTCAATATTTTGGAAAATGAGTCAAGGTCTTTATTGAGTTATGAAATTAATGTAATACATTTGAAGCATTTTTAATGGAAGAGACTAAAACAAAACAAAATAGAAAAGAATAGAAACATAGAAAAGATAATGTCAGCATATTATCCAAGGCAAAGTTGTTATTACGAGAAACTTTGTTTCAGATATATAAATGCAAGGAGGTAGATATAAGATGCATTTTCTACTGTGGCTACCAGCCAAAGGTTTTGATAGCATCTACCTTTTACAATATGAGTGAAAAACAATTTGCATAAAACCAATAAGGGGATGTTCTACTTTGGAAGTGTTGCCAAAGATGACCTTACTGCTAGCACAAATGACAAAGCACTTCACAAATAAAACCCTGCAGCCAGAATCATCGACATGAAGTGATGATGTGGGAGATGAAAAGGAAGGCAGGCAAGAGCAGTGGGGAGTGGCTGGCAGTGATAAAGAGCCACTTCAATCTATCAAAGAAAAAAAAATTCAGCTATTAGATTAGCTACTGTCCACAACTAGTGGTTTCTTCCCCACTTCCACATCTCATATACTTTTTTTTTTCAAATGTGTGAGTTCTGGGACAATACAGATTTTGACATTTCCCATAATATAGAATGGCTCAAAAATCATTACAATCAACAATCATTACAATCAACTGGGTGAAATGGCTAGAAGATGCCTAAATGCCTTTAGTGCCAGCTTCTCAGTCATTGAAGCAGACCTCAGACCATCTCTCATCACTGATTAGAAGCCATCACTTAATGCACTGTAGCTGGGACTCTGATTTACTAGAAAAGGGGATTAAAGAAAAAAAAGGCAAAAGTTGAATGTTTTAATGAGAACTGAAAGATTTCTTTCCATCTTTCTATATTCTGTGACTTCACACCATCAATATTTTTCTTCTAATTATACAGACAAGACATTTTTTTGGACTGGACATCAGGGCAAGTTTCTATAAGCATCATGTTTGGCTTTTCCATTGCAAGAGAGAATTACACATGAGAAGATTTCCCACACATGTGTATGATTTTAACATTTATTATGAAAATGAGCTATGTATTCATCTCAAAGATCTGGAGAGATCATTCTGTATAATGGAGGGAATCCTAGACAGTGACTCAGTTCACCTGGGATTCTCACCTAGGCACTAAATAGCAGTATAAAATGGACACATCCCTGTACCTCTCTGGGTTTAGTTTCCTCATCAGTAAAACAAGTAAGAAACTTGGCTAAATGTTATCAGAGAGATTCCTTTCATTTTAAAACTCCTATAATTTCTCCCTAAAACCATGAAACAAATACAAAAATACTCACCAAATAATCCATGTGGTTTTACAAATTTCCCAGCTTCCTTTGAACTTGGATTAGGACCACATTCCAGTTCTAGGCAACGAGTTGTAAGCAGAAAAGAGGTATCTCATTTCTCGGCTTAGATACCTAAAAGCAGATTTGATTTAAGATTCCTAGATTTAGCAAATAAAAATACAGGACGCCCAGCTAAATTTTAATTTTAGATAAACAACAAACATTTTTAGATAAGTATGTGCCATGCACTATTTGGGGCAAACTGATGCTAAAATATTATTCATTGTTAATCTGAAATTCAAAATTAACTGGGTATTTCATCTGGTAACTCTAGTTGGAATTTTCAAACTCTC